AACATTGCCTGTAAATTAAATAATATTGACAATGTTCAGAATCTGTTTCTCTCAAAATTCCAAAGAAATTGTAAAAGATAGTGTGATAAGGAATTATACTATTGCAAAAGCCGTATATGAATATTATATGATTGCATTCTGCATATAAAACAGTACAAAGTATCGTGCACACCGTGAACTCGAAAATGTATACTGAATGTCGTACAAATGCTTTACCTGCATCACTGAAAACCACTCTCTGGAAACCAGCATGAACGACATTTATCTCTGTCACGGAACAACTGACATATTTTGTTCATAATGACCTGTTGAACACGTATACCAAGTTTATTGAACTCCACGCTGGACACCCTGTGTAAAACTCAAAGGCTTGTCCGCCTCGAGCTGGTGCTATCAGCCCGCAGTAGAACGAACCGTTAATGGTCAGACAATCCAAACTTCCTCGCGTAAATTCCCATCTATCTACCACGTTCCACGCGTTTTCGCACGGTTATCTGCTAAACTCTCACCTTTCCTCTTACACGGTGTAAAAATGAACGGGGAAAGGGGACAATTTAGCGGACAAAAGTAGCTCGTTCGAACGGTAATCTGCATGCAGTACGCGACTCAGACCGTGGAACGTTTCTAATTAACGCAAATTGAGAACCGACCGGAGGGAAAAGTTTTCGCGAAAGAGAGAGGTTTCGCAAGCTCTCGCGGTGCTATCTGTCTTACTATCCGGTCAAATTCTGCTGAATTCCACTTATTACGTATGATTCAATGGAGTTGGACGGAAGTGTAGCGGTGTACACATGTAGCGCTCGGGGATATCAAATATCTTTCGTTGGGAAAATTACACGAAAATCTGGCGTAATTATCGTTTAACGTTAAACGAGCAGCTGTACGTAATAGCTGGGTAAAATGTTGTACAAATTTATTCGAGCTATCTTAATGGCGCAGTTCCTCTTCAACCGCTCGCCTCGTGATTTTTTTTCGGAATATACGGTGGCAGATACATACGTGTACCTGTATGGGTGTGTTGGAGTTGGTTACTTATTGTTCTTGTTTCGTGTTGTGTGAGAAAAATTAAACCAAATGTACTATTCGCATTTGTATAATGCTTGGAAGTAAAATTTATTTTAATACAGCCTGATTTTGTTGCACTTTAGGCCTTGGAACAAGAATTTTCGTAATTTTCAGGAACTCAAAATTTCTTTCTCGTTCGTAATAAATTCTTTCTTATTTACAGTAAATTGTTTATCACCAATAAAACCTTATTTCTTTCACGCATTACTTCTACGTTAAGAAACACAAACTCTATTAACAATACTACGAGTAATCCTCAAACAAAGATTACCTGAAATCTCGAAATTTCATGGCTGCACATCAGTCGTATGTTTCCCATTTTTAAATAATAAATCACAATGTCCATTTGACTTTTCCTCGAGGTGAGAGTCTCAAAGGGAATAGAAACGAAGCGAAAGAGTCAGATAACAAAAAAAAAAAAAACAAAAACATAAAGACAAAGAGGAGTAAAATAAAGAGAAATGAAAATAGAAGTTTGTAACTTTCCTGCACGTTAATGCTCGGACATATTCTCATCAGCGTGTAGGATCAAAGTAGAAATCTCATTTTAAAGTTTCCTTCGAGGTACGTGGGCGGTGTGCGAAACATCGCGTCAAATTGATAACGAAAAACATAGCTGAATATTCGAACGCAGATTTTCACGGGACGGAAATTCTACTGGCGAGTACAATACGCGTTTAAAAACATTGTTTCAGCTGGAACAGTTGTACATAGAAGTCCTTTACACGATCGCCAACACGGTCGGAGCAAGTACGGGACAATACGCGCACTACAAAGAGGATCTTTATAGGTACGCGCAGGAGGCTTTCGGGGTTCCACAGGATCAACATCGACGCTATCTGAACATCGCGTCCGAGGAAAAGGTACTTTTCAAATTTTTCTGTCTTTTATTTTCTGAGATTCATCGTCAGAAAGGCACTTCTGCTGCTCTTTAATTTCTTTAATTTCTCATACTTGTTAATCTGTGATCAATTGTGGAATAAAGAATCGAATTTCGTGTTATTTCAATTTTCTATTAATTCATTTCTCGTGAAATAAGAAATGGAATTTTTCGTGATGTAATTTTGATACTGACAAAGGTTGAGCATTGTATGAAATCATTGCAAAAGAGATACCTTTCCTATTTAATAATTTCGTGTGAAATAAGAAATGGAATTTTTCGTGATTTAATTTTGATGCTGACAAAGGTTGAGCATTGCATAGAAAATACTTTTCCTATTAATTCATTTCTCGTGAAATAAAAAATGGAATTTTTCGTGATGTAATTTTGATACTGACAAAGGTTGAACATTGTATGGAATCATTGCAAAAGAGATACCTTTCCTATTTAATAATTTCGTGTGAAATAAGAAATGGAATTTTTCGTGATTTAATTTTGATGCTGACAAAGGTTGAGCATTGCATAGAAAATACTTTTCCTATTAATTCATTTCTCGTGAAATAAAAAATGGAATTTTTCGTAATTTAATTTTGATACTGACAAAGGTTGAGCATTGTATGGAATCATTGCAAAAGAGATACCTTTCCTATTTAATAATTTCGTGTGAAATAAGAAATGGAATTTTTCGTGACTTAATTTTGATACTGACTAAGGTTGAGCATTGCATAGAAGATACTTTTCCTATTTATTAATTTCTCGCGAAATAAGTAATCGAATTTTGTGTTATTCAATTTTAAGATACTGACAGAAGTTGAGCATTGTATGGAATCATTGCAAAAAAGATACTTCTTCTATTTACAAATTTCTCGTGAAATAAGAAATGGAATTTTTCGTGATCTAATTTTGATACTGACAAAGGTTGAGCATTGCATAGAAAATACTTTTCCTATTAATTCATTTCTCGTGAAATAAGAAATGGAATTTTTCGTGATCTAATTTTGATACTGACAAAGGTTGAGCATTGTATGGAATCATTGCAAAAAAGATACTTCTTCTATTTACAAATTTCTCGTGAAATAAGAAATGGAATTTCTTATGATTTAACTTTAAGATACTGACAAAAGTTGTGTTTACTATTGTAGAATGAGAATGACTGAGAGGGAGAGAGAGAGTGTGTCAACAAAGAGTGCCTGGCACGTAGGCTCGGTTCTTATAAGACAGACTCTCCCCTTTTCAGTTAACGTACTTGTGTTTATTGTCTATTTACTAACTTCAGCCAATCACAATTAACGCGATTCCTGATTCGTTCGGCCCTGATAGCGACAGGAGATACATACCTATAAGAATAGGTGCGGAAATAGTTTTAGACCAGTACGAATACCGGTATCGGGTATTGTATCTTACGATTAATAAAACTACTATTTAATTTATTGATTAAAATAAAACTGCGCAATTAGTTATCCACGAAAAATATTTGAATACTGACAAAAGTTGAGCGTAGTTATCCAAGGAAAATATATATTTTATGATAATTTTCGTAACTGTCATAAGTACTGGATTTTAAAAGAAGAGCGCAAAAGAGCAATTTTTCTTTTTCTTCGTTCACCTTGGAAAAGGCCAAAAAGAGGTTCTTATGATTTAATATTACACGATACTGGCAATGTTTGAGCACTATATCCGAGAGAAAGTTACTTCTTTCATCTTCCATTACTTCATTATGCACCACGTTGCAGTGCAATTTTGAAAACTTATAAAAAAAAAATAGACGAGAGGAGAAGAAAATACATTTTAGAATTTTATCAAAACACAGGTATCAAATATTCAACGATTACACTTTCCAGCAATTTCCTAATGTAATATATAAACGTTGTGCATTATGTGTCTGTATCATTCTTGTAATTAGCATAATGAAATAAACGGTGGACGAATGAAACACGCTAATTACGCGGACCATTCTAAAAAAATAACATTACGCGAAAATTACACTTACAATGAAAACGGTAGTACGTGTTTATTAAACAAAAAAACTTGTCGAATGAAGGAAAATTCCGTTTCACCTTTGTCACAAAGTGTTAGGACAGCAAGGGGACGATTTCATGATACGTGATTTCTAGTTCAGCAAACCGTTACTTTTAATTTAGCAGACCGGTTTGCAGCCAACATGCGGCATGTAGAATTTCTCAAATATTAAAGAATAGGGTATTGTTCAGTCAGTAAGGCAAGGTATCATAAAGTCACCCCCAAAGGGTCTTCGGAACCGATGTAAGTACCGAGGCCTCTCGGTACCTGACCTGTTACATAAAAAACTGTGTTGCAAATAAAGAATTATTTGCTATATAATCGGCTTCACCCAACAAGGACCAGCTTCGTCACCCCCGCTCCAAGGACGTGACGCGCTCCGGGCGCAATGGAAGGGGGTGATACGGGGTTGGTCACTTAGTAATTTTAAGAACCTCCCTTCGCGTCCCTTCTTCAAATTTTAGAAGATTTGGAGAAGGGACGACTGGATAAGAAGGCCTACTTAGCTTAAGACCAGAGAGTGTTAGTACACAGACCAGCAGTTACATCAGGAATCCTAAGGATTCCGTCAGACTCTCAACGCAATACATTCAATCTTCAGACGGCACCTAGTGCAATACTCGAAGTACGCGGAAATTAGTACCCGAGTGCTTAACACGAAGTTTCCTGAAACATAAATGATTATTTAAAAAGGAACACGGTGGGAATCACAATTGCTATCATTGCGTTGTGAGGTAAACAATTTGTTGAAAAGGGAGGACGATGATTGCAGCCGGTTTGATTCTTTCCAGCGGAGCCGACAAAGAACGAATCTCTGTAAAACGATTTCACTCTTGACTGACGAAACGAAGCACGTTCAAGTCAAATGAAACAAATTAATTAGAAACCCCGCTGCGACAATTATTTCCTTGTCCTCGATATCATCGTCAAATAACGCGGCTTCGTTTGTTCCGCAATTCCTTTACGATAAAATCAATTTTCTAGCAGTCAAAAGAATGAAAATTTCCTCCTTATATTCCACTATAAATATCATTTTTTTAAATATACACGGAAAGAGAGCCAAAGAATATTCTACGATAAATTTACGTGGAATTGAAAATTAACTTACCAATGAAAATATTACCGATTACTCTGTGTTCGATGAAAATTTATTACAATTTATTCATTTTCTCTACTACTGTAAAATTATTCTCGTCAATTTCACTCCTTGACTATGCACAGAGCGTTCATTAAACCAATTTTCATTTTCTCGGATAAATAGGGAATAAAAGATTAAAGATTTCACGGAATTTTCAGTTTTCCGGATAAACAGAGAATTACAGATTTAAAGATTTCACAGCCCGAACCAAAGTTATTATTATTATTAAGACTTTCAGGTGTAAAGTATTCCACGCTGATAACACACGATAACGTGTACCTCCTGCAATGTTTACAAAACGTCAGAATATCTGCTCTCTCCGTAAAAACACGATTTACACCGGAAAACCTCAACGATAATAAACCGAGAATAACAAATATTTGATCTCCTGTAATTCTCGTACATTTCAGCCTCCCATAGTTGTCCTTAGCGTGGTTGTGGTCGAAGCAGAGGGACTCGAGGCGAAGGATGCGAACGGTAAGCGTTTGTTTAACGCGTTTCACGTTTAATTATGCAGCTACACGAAACGACCATACAAGTTTAACGAGTCGATCGAAACGCAAACGAATTTTCCACTGTATTACATGCATGCATAATACCACAGGAGTCGCCGGTGTCATAAATTGTGACGGGTACACGGTGAAAACCGATGCATCTTTCAACCCTTGGCCGGCTCTTTTCAATATTTCAGACCCTTCGCAGAGCGCGCGATGACGGATTAAATAATTGAGAAGACAGTTTCGCGTTTAATCTATCTCGGTCGCTGTAAATGATCGATTTCACGTGATGATGCATCACATTCCCGGAATTAAACGCACCTTCTATGCTTCAGTCGCTCGAAAGAAATGTTTGTTTCTCTTATTTTCGAAGAATAATTCTGTACAACATTGCACGAATCTATGGATTGTGAATAATTCTATTTTTAATATATCAACAAGTGAAATGATAAGATTGAACTATTTAATCGAAGTTAAAATTTGCCATTATGACACGAAACTTGTTCGATGCTGAATTATATATTGTATCAGTTCGCTCATCTTGTCTCCATCGCGCGAAGTTGCGGGAATGTTATAGCAGAAATTCTAAAAATAGAGTCCTCTGAAGATAAAACGTGTCTTAGTATCTTATGACAAAAAATATCGCCTCTTTCTCTCAAGTTCTCTCTGTGAAGTGTCTATCTGAAAAAGCTGAAACGAGTTCAAGGAACATTCGGAAAAAGATCAAACTCGTATACACCGGTGACACAAAACGTGGTACGAAGTTCGGTAGTACAGCTCAACTTACTTAGCAATGTCATATCATACCACTAACGACAAATATTTTGATTTAAAAAAAATGTTGAAAGAATTTAATACTCTGTGTAACGTATAAACGAAACGTTGAAATGAGTATTTTGAGCAATTACGAGTACGAAACGATTTTTAAAAGCATGAAAAATTGTTCTCCTAATTTTTGAAAATTTAACACTTACAACGCTGTGGCATGGAACCTTTAATTGCTGACCCTTGACCCTTTTACTGCGGCAGACTTTTCGGCGAAAGAAATCCTCCGTTTCGGGGTTTTAACGTTTCTTTAAAATTTCATACCGATGAAAGTAAAATTTAAATCAAAATTTAATCGAATTCAATCAAATTGACACAAAAGTAAACCAAAATGTATCCTTTTAAAAATTAAGGTGGAAGTGCGCAAAGAACAAGAATCAGGGGTTAAATTAGGGTGAAAGTGTGGCAAAAAGCACAGTGCAAGAAAATTTCCAAAGCGCCAATAGACATAAAAAGCACAGTGCGAGAAAATATTCGAAACGTCTATAGAAACAAAAGGCACAGCGCGAGAAAATTCTCAGAGCGATAGTAAACAGCAGTGAAAGGGTTAAATCATTTGAATTGCGCATTTTTTTCCGCTGAAATCTGGCACCCCTCTCCAATTACGAGAATTGTTACCCTGAACGAAATTAGGTATATTTTCGTCAGGATTCAGCGATCCCTACTGCATGCTGGGAATTCAACCGGGTAATACAGGAGCACCGTTAAGCCCGCAGACGAATTTAACGGCGCACTCGCCCCATACGCCGCCTGCGTCACCGAGACAAGCGACGCGTGCCCTTTCTGACGGCGGTGAAACCGAGAATTCTCATCATGAGAAATTACGGAAACACCATAGGTAAGTCAATGCGACGAACATATCCGGTTAAACGATCAACGAGATCACTCGTGTGTATTTCAAACTGTAGAATATCGCGAATTTCCTCTTTTCGTCGTGTTATACCTCAACTTGGCCGATGCTTAATTGGAAACTGTATCCGCCAATTATTATTCAAGTTGAAATTTGTTTTAACGGTGTGCAGTCGGTGGTGTTCAATATTAGAGAGAAATTTAGTTTTGAAATTGTTGAAACTAAAAATATCGACTTTATAAAGTATGGTCGATTTTTAATTCTAAAATTTATCTTGTAATTGCTGTAATTGAAAATTATTTTGTTTTATTAACACATAGTTGCTTTTGTTCAATATTTTATTTCCAAATTATTGCAGCTAAAAATATTTACTCTGTCGAATATGGCCGATGTTTAATTCGAATCTTCTATTTTACAAACGTTAGAATTGAAAATAATAAATTCTTTTTATCGATGTAAAATTGATTATGTTCAATATTAAAAGGAAATTTTATTTTCAAATTGCTGAAGCTAAAAATATTGACACTGTAAAATACGGTCGACGTTTAATTCCAAACTTTGTCTCATAATTGTTAGAGTTGAATATCGTAAATTATGTTTCTATTAGTACATGTAGTTAATAATACTAACCTTTCGGTATATAGAACACTGACGGTTCGATTAGAATTAGAAGATTAGAAAATATAGGGTGTTTCTCGTTTCGTAGAGGCAAGTAGAATTTGAGAATGAATTGTTCCAAGCCGAAACTTGGCAGCGTTAAACAAAAATTAATAGTTCGATCCATGTATCTTCGTTTAGCTGTATGTAACGATGACCGAATAAAATTCTATGTACTCACGAACAATTCGAAGGTTCAGTTTTTCTTGGTAGAACTAGAGATACCTATATGTAGTTAAGTGAAATATAGTTTGAAGTCTGTAAACAGCAGAGCTGATTACCGCATTAATATTTGCAATTCAAATTATATCGAATATACAAGGGAACTTACGTACACGTTGAGAAACAATTTAATAAATAAGAAAAACCACAGGTACACAATTTAATATCCCATAAAAGATCGAACGTGAAGAGAGATAAACTTGCGAATTTAAATTTAATAAAGGTTAAGGCTACTAGACACTCACGCTAAGAATTCAGTGCGTCATAAATTACTTGAAACGAAATACACCGCGGTGAAACCTAAATCAATATTTCTCTTTCGACCAATCAAACTTCACCCTCTTCGTTTTTCTACCCGAAATAAAATCCTCCTTTAACGTAAAAACATTTTCTGGACGATTGATCGAACCCGTCGGAAGGTACTATATAAATCTAAACCAATATTCATCCCTCGATGAAATTCAAACCTTCTGCTACCTCGTTCTTCCGTCGAAAATAAAACTCCGACGCTGCCTAAATCACTCTAAATAATCTTTACTAAGATCGACAGTTCTTTTTGTTTGAGAAGAAACAATTTTGCGAAGGGTTGATTTATTAAAATTGACTTCCTTCTTATTCATTCGCTCGAACTGAAATTCCAACACTGCCTAAATCACTCTAAATCATGTTTACTAACACCGACACTTCTTTTCGTTCCAGTAGAAAAAATTTCGTGAAGGATTGATTAATCAGGACCTGACATTTTCTCATTCATTCGCTCAAACTAAAATTCCAACGCTGCCTAAATCACTCTAAATCATGTCTACTACCATCGACACTTATTTTCATACCAATGAAAAAACATTTGTGAAGGATCGATTAATCAAACCTTTACTTTTTCCTTATTCATCCGCTCAAAGTAAAATTCCAACGCTGCCTAAATTACTCTAAATCATATTTAGTAATACCGACGCTTCTTTTCATTCCAATGGAACAATTTTGTGAAGGATTGATTAATCAGGACCTGACATTTTCTCATTCATTCGCTCAAACTAAATTCCAACGCTGCCTAAATCACTCTAAATCATATTTAGTAATACCGATACTTCTTTTCATTCCAATGGAACAATTTTGTGAAGGATTGATTAATCAGGACCTGACATTTCCTCATTCATTCGCTCAAACTAAATTCCAACGCTGCCTAAATCACTCTAAATCATGTCTACTACCATCGACACTTCTTTTCATTCCAATGAAAAAACATTTGTGAAGGATTGATTAATCAAACCTTCACTTTTTCCTTATTCATCCGCTCAAAGTAAAATTCCAACGCTGCCTAAATCACTCTGAATCATCTCCAGTAGCATCGACAGTTCCTTTCATTTTAGCAGAAAAAAATGTCGCGAACGATTGATTAATCCAGCGAGAAAGAATTCGTTCGATCAGCCGAAGGAGCTGGCTGGAGGTAGACGCACGGCCAGTGAAGTGACATTCTCACAATGAGCCGCGATAACAACGAGCGGTTGCCGGATGCGACAAGTTCTGTCCGCGACCGTTCACGGCAGAATAAGGCCGCGGTGCATTGAGAGTCGCGCGTCTCTATCACGTCGGTATTGTCTCCTAGCGAAGCCACACCGGCCGATTAATTCACAGTGGCGTCGCGACGACGCGCAAAACGAGAATCGTTCAGAACCATGTGCTTGTTGTTGGTTAAAAGATCGAGCGGCAGAGCACAGTCATGCCGAACGTGGAGAAGATGGCTAAGAAGCGACTGGAGAAACTGTGAGGAACATTATTTTTGTGAAGTTCAAATTAGATTAGGATTTAACGGGGAATTTTCACAAGTGATTGGGATTGTCAAGTTGGTAGTTGGGATTCGAGTGTTTTTTGGGGGAAATTGGTTTAGTGAGTGTATATTAAGTATGTTAAATATCGTTTGTATGAATGATATCATTCTTGGTGTTTTTGCAATATTTATGAGACACATTTTTGAAAGCGTTTCATGAAGATTGAGAATTATGTTAATTGGGATACTTGAGAAGATTCGTATTTGTTGAAAAAATGTTGAAATGTCGAATATTCTTCGTGTAAATAATTTTCAATGATTGTTCAAATATTTTCAAAAATTTGTGAACGAAAGAAAATTACAAACTTAGCCTGAATATCTTTCTGTACTACTCAACTATGTCCTTCACCTGAGAATTCCTTTGCTCGTTATTTAAGACTAAAACCAATCATGTTAGACGAGCAATTTTAGGAATAAAAATGAAACCCAACTACCTATACAACTTAGTGATATACTCCACAAATCACAAACTCACTGTCACAAAGCAAATTCTTTAATTGCGAAGGAAGTATTCGAGATTCTACACACAAGTTTCCTCGGTAAAATCTTCGAAATCCTATTTAAAAAATCGGAAAAAATTGCAACAAGAAGAAAAGATTTGAATCTTCTCAGAGTATAGCATTCGATCGATCACATCACTCGTAGCAGATTAAAAGACACACGAACCCCCTTCACAAGGGTAAATCTTACTTTGCAGTGAAACGAAAGCACTGAAACTACAATTCCCGTAAGCTGCGTAGCCAGAAAGGAGGCAGCGAAACGCACGAGAGGGTCGTGAAAGTTATTGTAGCCGTTCGAAATCAGTTTCAGGTTGTCGTTCAAGCGCAAGGAGCACACGAGCAGACGCGAGCATCGAGAATCGTTGAGCGGTGCTGTGCCGGCGAAGTTTATACGCGCGACCACGGTGAAGCCGCACACGCTGAGCCCGCGATGGAACGAGAAGTTTCGTTTGTAAGCAGCCCCAAGTGTTCCGGCGGGAGGGGACCACGGTTTGCCTCCTCTCTCCGTTCACTTCCGTTTTCTATGCCGACGAATAAGCGATCGGATACGCGTTACGTGAAATTGCAATCAGACCACTCCGCTGTCTGCGATAAACCTTAACGTTTCCGTATTTCTCCTTTCCAGCGATATCGACGACATTAACACGGACATCCTGCACCTGGACATATGGTGAGTGCTATCGTTTAACGTGATATGCCACTGTGTGTGTCCCTGATAGTTTCCTGTGATATATAGAATGAAGCGCTTGTGGTCGTGAAGACTACCTTTTTTGATGTATTGGTTTCTTGAGGATTGGTGCAAAAGCGAGAGAGAGAGAGAGATACGTAGATAGGTACACAGATAGATAGATAAATAGAGACAGAGAGACAGAGACAGAGAAACAGTGAGACAAAGAGATGGATAGAGAGATAAATAGATACATACATAGAGAGAAAGATAGTGAGAGGGTGAGAAAGAGAGAGAGAAAGATAGTGGGAGGGTGAGAAAGAGAGAGAGAAAGATAATGAGAGGGTGAGAAAGAGAGAGAGAAAGATAGTGGGAGGGTGAAAAAGAGAGAGAGAAAGATAGTGAGAGGGTGAGAAAAAGAGAGAGAAAAATAGTGAGAGGGTGAGAAAGAGAGAGAGAAAGGTAGTGAGAGGGTGAGAAAGAGAGAGAAAGATAGTGAGAGGGTGAGAAAGAGAGAGAGAAAGATAGTGGGAGGGTGAGAAAGAGAGAGGGAAAGATAGTGAGAGGGAGAGAAAGGGAGAGAGAAAGATAGTGAGAGGGTGAGAAAGAGAGAGAGAGAGATAGTGGGAGGGTGAGAAAGAGAGAGAGAAAGGGAGGAGACAGAACGAGGGTGAGGAGAAAGAAGAGAGAGAAAGATAGTGGGAGGGTGAGAAAGAGAGAGAGAAAGGGAGGAGACAGAACGAGGGTGAGGAGAAAGATAGAGAAAGAGAGTAGAAGAGAGAACGAGGGAGAGGGTGAGGAGAAGAGAGAGAAAACTAGAGGGAGGATAGAAAGAGAGAAAGAGAGGAGACAGAACGAGGATGAGGAGGAGAGAAAGAAAGAGATCGAGGGAGAGTGTGAGGAGGAAAGAACGAGTGAGAGGGTGAAGAGGAGATATTTTATTTAATTTTCGTTAAAATTCTACCTGAAATATCGATTACTCCGAGGACATAAAAAAAGATAAATGTTTTTTAATTCTCTTTAAAATTATACCTCAAATATCGGTTACCCTTACCGCTACACTGATATCTGAGGGGTGCCTATTCTACAAGCATAAACGATGCACCAGTAATTTATTAAAATTGACCATTTACCTTTGGCAAACTTCATCGAGTATACAAAAGATATCGATCACTGCCTACGGACGTTTTCGTTCACTTTGAAAATCCGTGTTTCTTCCTGCCGGAAGTGTTTGTGTTGCCCTGACAGACATAGTTTCAGGGACCACGACGACGAATCCTCGGTATTCGACGCAGTGAGCAAGCTGAATGAAGTGCGCGGCGTAAAAGGGCTCGGAAGATTCTTCAAGCAGATCGCGCAGAGCGCGAGATCTGGAGGACAGGATGACTTTCTTGGCTGCGTGAATATTCCCCTTCAGGTATCTCGTCGATTCGCTTAATAAATTCGACGATGTTCTTCTGTTCATCGTGAACACTTCTTCGCAATTACAAAATTAATTACGTATGCGTTGCAATTTTCTAGTAGTTCCAATTATTTGGATATCTACGGATCTCGCAACTGTATTCCAGAAAGTTTCGCGAATTCTTTATTGTGTAATACGAATAGTTCGAAATTATCTTTCATGTCGGCAGCTTTACAATTTCAAAAGTCCGAAATAACTTTTAGTTGAACACTGTAATTTTGGTCATACGTTGGGATAAATTTAGCAGCACGATATCTATTCGCTACGACTGTCAGATTGCAGCTTTCTCTGCGTGATATTTTGATATACAACAAGAAAGGATCGTTTGTTGCCAGGATATTCCAAGCACCGGACTGGATCGATGGTACAAACTAGAGGCCAGAACGCAACGAAGTACTATTCAGGGTAGAATTAGATTAAAGCTGTGGCTATCAACGAGAGAAGACACGGGAACGTCCGAAGAAGACAACTGGGGAGAGCTCAGGCAACAAGAGAGGCTTTACACCGTGTTTCTCAATCATGAAATGAACAAACAAGGGGTATGTATCATCGATGTAGATGATATCTGTAAATCAATCAATTCTCACACAAGAAGCCTCTCAAACGTAATTTCTCTTTCACCAAACTAAAATACATCTCTGTTTTCCATGAAATATAAATTTCAAATTAATTTTAAATCCCATTCATTTACATCCAATTACCGAATTTAATTGCTTGCGAAAAATTCACGTTCGAAATGCTCTCGTTTCGTTTCTCCCTCGTAGTATAATAGAATTATTCGGTATGTAACGACGTGTTTCATCTTGCGTCATTTAGGAAGACTTCACGGGAGAATTGCCACAAACGGCACTAACGATTCTTCATCAACACGCCGTCCAAGGTGATGTCACGGAGCTGCAACAAGCGCTAGTTAAGTGGGTGGCAACATCCAGGCAATCAGCATGCGATCCAAGAATCCTTCATCGTCTTCTTCAGGTTCGTTCTAATTTCTAGAACATTTCGCCGATGTTGTTGTTATTATCTGAAAAAACTGCCTTTCTCCCTTCCAACATGTTCGAATGTGTCGATTTTTAGGAGCTGGACAATTTATGGCACACGGACACGCTTTCTCGAGACGAGGAACAATGTCTGGCCGAATCGTTCAACGAGTTTCTCGACGTAACGTTGAAAAGAGTACGACAGCATCGAGTGCTCTTTCCACCTTTGCATCGAGCGTCGATCTCGAAGCTGGATTATCTCCTTAGGTGCGTACTTTATGTTTCGTTGTAAGAGAACAATAAAATTTTTATGCATTCAACAGTTTTTATATGCAACTTGGGTCACAGGAACGTTAATTTGTTACTGAGTTAGATGCGGCGAAGTATCTTTGTCATTCATCGGTAAATCGGTGAATTATTGTAGCCTCGTTTGTTCAATTCTACAGTATTAAGTATTTTTATGTATTTCACTTGGAAACGATTTTTCAAATAGTGCAGTATCATTATTTTGAATAAAAATTATGTCATAGGAACGTTAGATTCTTTAATATTATGAAACTGTAAATTTAACGTTGAAATACAACGAAAATTCAACTAACCAGAATTCGACAGATTGATATCGAAATTCACTGGATGTTGAACAAAAAGAAATTTTTCATTTAGAGAAAATATAACAACTTTCCTCGCCGAGAAACACGATAATTTTCAAACAGAAATTAGCACTCGAAAGATTGTAAAATTTTCCGTGTTAATCGCTCGAGAAGATAGCGGAAAGCATGCCCTTTACGGCAAACTTTGTTTCACCACGATACCGCAATTAGTTCCCGAGATATGAGAGTTTAAATCGTGCCATTGAAAACACGAGGACTACAGAATGGGCTGCGAATTCTGAGAAATACGCTGACCCACTTTTTTCACGGAAATGCGTACGTCGCTACTAGAAATAGTAAAAAAAAACGCTGATTCAACACTTGCTGGCTAGCGCACACGTGGCGGGCTTGAGAAAGGTCAGTGACCGCGCGTAAGAGCGAGAGGTCCGATTGTGCGAGAAGGACAGAGAGAGTAAACAGCGAAAAACAGGGTTCGCTTTGAACAACGATATCTCCGGAACGAACACTCGTATCGACATGAAACAAAAACCATTTTAAAGGGCAAGATTTTCTGCTTCTTATACTGTTACTCTTATTTCTCTGTGATAATACACAGCCACGGTATTTTGAGTTAAATTCATGCTATTTTCAATGCGATTTCGCTCTTCCTTTTTTAATTTTAACATTAGAATTGGAAAGTACAAGTGTTTCACAGCTAATCTTTATGAAATAACGAGAATAATAATGTTCATAGAAGATAATTCTGAATTTTTACGGAAAATAAATTGAAGTAAACTATTAAAGTTCGTCACATTTTTTGGTAGAACTTTTGATGTATGTAATTAATATTAAAATTAGTAAATAGGCACTCTGAAATAACGATTTGATGAACGAATTAATGTTAACAATCTCTTAAGCTTACGACAGAATGAGAAGTATTTCAATTTCAATTAAATTTCATTCTTGCACGTAAGAATATTTAAGAAAATGCCTTTATCCTGAAACTTTTCTGCAGATGTTTAGGACTGCTGTCAAATATGAAGGCTTTCCGAGCGTGTTGCCCGTTCAACAAGGAAATTCGCGGGGAAATAATAACCGCCTTGAGGAAAGGAACTCTCGAATGGTCGGTGCACGATTTGACTTTTTTCCTTTGTTTAAGTTTCCACTTGTAATCAACGGTACTCGTTCCCTACGTTCAGGTACGAGGACACGAGGCAGCAGACAATGTGTTACGATAAAGAGCCTGATCAGGATGCAGATAAAGTCCTGCAAGACTTCACGAACTTGGTAACTGCGTTACTGGTAGACTTGGAGCAAGGACTCACTTATTACAACAGCCTCTTCGAAAGGTGAGCACCGTGAACTTTCCGAACTGAAGTTCGAACTTCAGTTTACGAGATCGATGAACGTTGAACTCGTGAATTTGCCCTTTAACTGAAACTTTGAAAAACGTAAAAACGTAAAAATTTCTGATATTCGTCCAAGAAAAAAATTCATTTTCCTTTGAATACTTAGAAATGGAAAGTAGAGTTTTGTAACTTCGTTGAAATAATACTTGCCGCAAACAAAATTTCTATTTTAAAAGTAACTTTTTATAACGAGGAAGAAATGACTCTTCTGGCATTCTTCGCTCTAATATTTCGAGTGTAAACATTTAATATCTACTCTTACTTAAGAAAAAAATTCATTTTCCTTGAATATTTCATAATGGAACGTAAAATTTGACAACTTTGTTCTGTAATACGTGAAGAAAATTTTTATATCGAAACTAACTTTTCGTAACGAAGAAGAAACTTCTTCTCCGACGTTCCTGTTACGAAAAATTCTTCGCTCTGATATTTCAAGTCTGACTACGAAAACACGAAGTTATTAACGCAACGTAGGATATTGAATTTCAAAACATAAATATTCTCGACAAAGTGAAAAATGAGACTGTTCGATTGTTGTTATTGTACAAGGAAATAATCCATGTTTTGCCTGTGCTGCTTATACTCAGGCAAAAACAATGTTATATACGTTTGTTTACGATACGATAGATGAAATATTGTGTTCCAGTACGAACGGCGTGCCATATTTCTCGGCGGTGTATAAACAATTGGACAAGCTGGTAAGCAATCCGCGCGTGAAAAAGTAATCCTTCCGACAATCTGAAAAATGAACGAAGCACACAATCATTACGACACATGACTATATATTTTATTTCACTGTTTCGTGAAGCTGGATGTGCTATGTTTGGCTTTATGCTTTATACAAGACGTCGATCGTGTTTTTTCTCTCAAATTTCCCATACGAAGCAAGAAAAGAAACGCGTATCGAATCATTCTTGTTGAAAAAGGAGGAAAAGAAAAAATTCGTTTCAAATTCAAATAGGACAAACACTTAGAAATTAGAAGAGAATGTGCATAGTAACGTTAAAGATAAGAAATTCAAACTGAATCGTTAATTATTTTTGCAATATGTATTATCACGATTATTTTTCCTTTCATCATCTGCGAATTCGGTCGACGTCCTTGCATCGAAATAACTACAAAACATATTACTCTTTATATATAGGGTGTTCCGTGAAACAAATCACTGAAAAAAAAGAAATAGTAAAAGTTCAATGTTAGTTTAACCCTTATGCCAATAGCGACAATTTTCGTCTACTTTATCGTCCAATTTTGGTAGCTTTCTGGCAACGAAATTCTAAATTCGAAGCAAACACGGATAGCAAAATTCTATATTCTAAATTCTAAATTTGAAGTGCAAGGGCTGTTTCGTCTAAATAATATTCGTCAGGATTATTTAAAACTAATGTTGAAAACTATATTTATTAATCCGTCTGTCGTTGACGCCTCATTCTTTTCTGGTCCGTCCTTACCAACTACACGCTTCCTAATTCTTTCTTATTGAGAATAGATTATATTTTGAATTTTTTTACTTTCCTACTGCAAGTTTCTCTGCTTAACGTAGGCCCAGGCCATAAGAGCCATGGGTCCGCTGACCGTGGGGCGATGCCGAGTATATAACAAATCATTTCTATCAATAAACATTTTTTTTTCTCTGCAGTCGATTGAGTCAATTCGCTAATTAAAGATCCTCAATAGTTCTAATACAATTCTCCGCGTTCTTATTTAACGCGACCTTATATACGAGCCTTGACGCCCCTCTCTCGCCCCCGGGAAACCCTGGCACAAGTTGGGGGTTTCTACCCAGCAAAGTCAGCGTCGCGCGAGCACGTGGCTGGGTCCTTACCTGGCCCAGCCCTTAGCGCGTGGGGGTGTCAAGGCGTTGGGACCGGGTTTCTCCGTCTGCGGGTCATAAACCAGCCCGAGTCCCTACATTCGCTCGACCATACTCTTACAGAAGTTAACAAATCTCCGAAACAGCAACGATCTGGATATGAAAATCTTTCACCGGGAATTTGCCAGGTTATTGACATAAGGGTTAGTCGAGAGTGTTTAAACGTTTCTATCGTGTGACAAGAAATTAAAGAAAAGGATCGACCAGGGACACCCTATAAATAAGCGAATCGCAGTGACCTGAAGGCCAGGTTGAACGAGGATCGAACGATGTTGAGGACGAGTTTGAAATGTCCGTCAGGTCATCGCGATCTTACTGTACACGAGATGTTTGTCCATAGCTGGCGGAACACGTGGCGAAACACATGGAGAACACATCCGAGGTACTTTTTCATCGCCACCACGAACTGTTAAAACCCTCTTCTCTTTCTCTTCTATCTTTCTTCTTCGATCTCCTTGTATATGTGACATTGAATTGTCGTAACGAGACGCCTTGCTTTTATTTGCGTATGTATTATGGAGATAATTGTTTAAAAGGAGTATTGAAAATTAAGGAAATTGAACATTGTATATTCGTGTGATTCTGTTCACCGATAAGATTGACATTCTCGACGGA